TAACCAATAAACAACCCAATCAAAAAATGGACAACTAATCTAAACAGACACTTTTTGAAAGAAGACAAAGGAAAGCCAAGAGACATATAAAAACATGCTGAGCCAAAACCGGTTTGGCTCAGCGGTAGAGCGTCGGTCTGCGGACTAAAAGGTCCGGGTTCGATTCCGGTCAAGGGCATGTACATTGGTTGTGGGCACATACCAGGTAGGGGGTGTGCAGGAGGCAGCTGGTCGATGTTTCTCTCTCATCGACGTTTCTAGCTCTCTATCTCTCTCCCTTCCTCTCTGTAAAAAATCAATAAAATATATTTAAATAAAACAAAGCAAAACATGCTCAAAGTCACTAATCATCAGAGAGATGCAAATCAAGACAACAATGCAGTACCATCTCACACCTGTCAAAATGACTATCATCAACAAATCAACAAACAACAGTGTTGGTGAGGATGCAGAGAAAAAGGAACTCTTTTGCATTGCTGGAGGGAATGTGCAGCCACTGTGGAGAACAGTATGGAGTTTCCTCAAAAAACTGAAAATGGAACTCCCATTTGACCCAGTAATCTCACTCCTAGGATTATATCCCAAGAAATTAGAAACACCAATCAGAAAGGATATATGCACCCCTATGTTAATAGCAGCGCAATTTACAATAGCTGAGATTTGAAAACAGCCTAGGTGCCCATCAGCAGATGATTGGATAAGAAAAGTATGGTACATCTACCCAATGGAATATTATGCTGCCATAAAAAAGAAGGAATTCTTACCATTTGCAGCAACCTGGATGGAACTGGGGAACATTATGCTAAGTGAAATAAGTCAGTCAATGAAAGAAAAAATTCCACATGATCTCACTCATTTGTGGATAATAAAGAACATTATAAACCAATAAACAAAAAGATAGATGCAGAGACAGTAAAGCATCAAACAGACTGTCAAATTACAGGAGGAAAGTTAGGGAGAGGTGGGGGAGATAAGAGATCAACCCAAGGATTTGTATGCATGCATATAAGCATAACCAATGGATGCAAAACACTGATGGATGAGGGCATGTATGGGAGTTGGGTGGGGATGGGGCAATGATAAGATTTGTACACATGTAATACCTTAATAAAAAATGGAGAAAAGAATTGGAGGAAAATGAAGCTAAAAGAACAAATGGATAAACTAAAATAAAATTAAAAGAAAGTACAAATGAAAACCAAAGATTTAAAGTAGAATCTTTGAGGAAGATGGCAGCAGAGCTGGTGGAAGTTGCTCTCTCCTCCTCCCAGAACAGATTTGGAATCATAATTAAATTATACAACAATCAACCTGAAGATCCCACTGAAAATAGCTGAATAGAAATCTTATAAACAAATATTTACAGAAGAAGCCACATCGAGACCAGGGCCATCTTTCCTGGTGCAAACACTCCCTTCCAATCTGCATCAGCCTAGGGGACTGCACAAGCCTCATGCTCCTAGCCTTCTGGTCTGAGTTCACAGCCTACAAAAGAGTGTGCTGTCTGAGCCTGTACTAGGAATGGGGAGTTGGTAACCGTATTTCTAGAAACTCATATCAACGCAACAGAAAATTACTTAAACCTGCAGCACAGGTTTATTGAGCTTTTCCTGGTAACCACCTATGTCTAACCCCCCTCCCTCAACACCGTTTTCTGTCTTCAGCTAACGATGGTGGCTAAGGTGGTATTTTCAGAATTACTTAATTTTCCAAAGTTTCCATCTCAGTTTGCTTAACTGCATTTTCTGATGTGCACCCAATGACAAAATCGCCTATGGATGCATTTCTCAGAATGTATCCCTGTTTATTAAGCAGTGCATAACAGTATATCTTTCATTCAAAATCTTAAGCCAACACAGTTTTTGGTGAAGATGGCCTACAACTACTTGCCCCTTACTCTACCACAGGACCAAAACATGCTACTCAAAGAGTGGTCCTCAGACCAGAACCTCAAAACCAGCTTTTCCTGGAACTTTTGAGAAATGCAGATGCCTCAGGCCCACCAGCACCTGCTGAATCAGTATCTGTACTTGAACTATAATCGTGGGTGATTCATATTGATAAAGACTACCAGGAACTTAAGGAAACATAACCAGTCAAGAGGGTCTATGGGAAGAGATAGCACTAATGGAATTTCTCACACTGTATGTAATCAGGAAAGCCCTACAGGAAGAACTCTATGTTGATAAAACTCCATAGTTCTAAATTTCCCTTCCCTCTTCCTTTCCCCTCCATAAGGACCCTCCATCTTAGCACACAGGCTAGAATATGCATGTAACTTATCATGTCTGCATGCATGGGTTGCAATACTTTATTTTTCCTGAACAAACCCTTTTGCTAATGAAACACCTATCAATGTTATTTTTTAAAGTCAATAATAGGCACTGTGAACTTGAAGAAGGGCTCCTCTAGACGAGGAATTTTTACCTTCTAAATGTGACATAATTATTTGTGTTGGGTATTGCAAATATTTAGCAGCCTACTTTCAGATTTTCCCTCATTGGGAACCACTGCACAGTTTGAGAACGGAAAGCATCATGACAGATTCTAAACACCTTACTCTGGTTATAATGTTGGATTGGTCACTAAACTTCCTCAAGCCCACTACTGCAATGGAGAATGAAAATAATAATTTTATCAGTTCAGAGAAAGTATTTTTTAAACTTCAAATCAAATAATACATATAATGTACTAAACTCAAATTATACAGCATAAAATTATGTCTCACAATTAACAAAGATCGTATAATATGGGACTACATAGAAACTCTTATCTTCTGATATAATTATGAAGTTTCTCCTTAATTTGAAAAATGTTTCATGAAGCCAAGGAGGGTAGTACACAAAGCTTTACATCAAAATCACACAGTCCTCTCCCTTCTTAAAGAGAAAAATTTCAATTCTCTGGAGGTATCATGGCTTGTGCCTCACAATAATTCAGTGCTTTGAAAAGCCAAGGTTCCTAGTCAAGCCAGTCTCCATCTTGGACTTTAGAGAAAATGTAATTCAAAGTTGGGTAAGGTGCTGCGAGATGAGACCTCAAGAGGGTCATAAAGAAGAAGTAACAAAGACAGGATTCACTTAACATCTAACCTGGTCCCTTGGGAACAGAGAATCGGCAGGAACATTTTCCATTCTCTTCAGACCAGTATGTCCCACAGGAAAACCAGGTGCTCAGAAATGGGAGTAACTTTGCAAACGGTATCCAACGAACAGATAAAGGAGGAATAATGTCTCCTTTGAGGCAGACTTGCAACATGTGCAACAGTAGGCTGGAAAAGAACAGTATTTGTTTCTTTTGGAGTCTTTCTTCTGACTCAGAGACTAGTGCTTGACTCTTTCCAGCTCTTTTATCCGAGAACAGAGCTTCAGTCTCACACATTAACCATTCAGGGAGCAGCAATTCAGGATTCTACAAGGAGCCCTTCCTTTCAGAGACCCGACCAGGTGAGTCTGAGAGTGCAGCAAATGCTGTGGGAAGATTCAAGGAATGCATCCCAGAATTTCTCCCTGAGGTAACCTGAGAGCCTAACCAGGCCAGCTCAGAGCTGAGAGACTGCCATATCTGTTTGCTAGCCAGGCGAATACACAGTTAATACATTTAGTATGCTAAATTAGTTTTGTCCTGAAAACATTGCTGTTTGGCATAGAATTCCTTTATATCTGTATAGATGGGATTTAGGGGAATGGATGAAAATATATTAATTTTGTGTGGTCAATTCCATCAGTCTGTCATATTGTGTCTTCTCCCATGACTTTTAATGAAAACAGTTCTACATCTCACCTTGGCAAAAACATTTTTTTTTTTTGCCTTCAATTAATGATCTTTTCCATCCATTTTCTAAGCAAAATCTATTGATGCTTATATAGGTAGAAATTATAACTGTGAATACTGGTTACTCCACTGTCTTTTAAAAGTATATTTTTGTATTTTTATTTCCTCTGGGACAACTTGAAGTGTACCAACATTCACAATATGGGGGTGCCAGAAGAAGAAAAGAGAGAGCAAGATATTAAAAACTTATTTGAATAAACCAAAGAACTTATGCACTTATAAGTATATCACATGGACACAGGCAATAGGGTAGTGAAGACTTGGGGAGCTGGAAAGGGGCTGGGAGGAGGGGGAAAGGAGGGATGGGAGATATCTGTGATATTATCAATGATATGAATATTCTTAAAAATAATAATAATGACCTAAAAACAACCCCTACCTGGTGAAAGAAACAGACTTACAACTTCAGGAAGTGCAGAGAATCCCAAACAAGAAGAACCCAAAGAGGCCTACATCAAGACACATCATAATTAAAATGCCAAAGGTTAAAGACAAAGAGAGAATCTTAAAAGCCACAAGAGAAAAGCAGTTAGTTACCTATGAGGAGGTGTCCATACAATTGTCAACTCATTTCTCAACAGAAATGTTGAAAAAGAAAAAGATTAAAAAAAATATATGAACAATAAAATGGCAATAAATACATATCTATTATCAATGGAATAAAAAAAATCAAGATAAATGAACAAGGGATCTAAAGAATAAAATCAACTGATGAATAAAATACAACCAGAGGCATGGAAACATGGAACGGACTGACCAATCTCAGAGGGAAGCGGGGAAGGAGGCAGGAAGAGATTAACCAAAGAATTTATATGCATATATGCATTACCTATGGACACAAAGGAAAAGATGCTGAAGGACTAGGGTGGGTGGGAACTGGGTGTATAATAGGGTGAGAAAGGGGGACATCTATAATACTCTAATAAAGATTTGAAAACAAAATCAAAACACTATAATCCATGACCACCTTGGGAAAAGGTCTAAGGAGGAAAGAAAATCCTAATCAGTGTTGTCAGGGGCTGGGTTGTGTCTTAAAGGCCATGATACATACAAACAGTATATATTACTTCACTGCAAAATATAATTGCAGCATTTCAACTATATTAGAAATGGCCATTTATGTAAAACCTAATCATGCTATATTTTTCTTTCCTACTAGTCACCTTCTCCACATGGGACAAGGCAATGATACCACAATTTCAGAATTTCTTCTTCTGGGATTTTCAGAAGGACTGGAATTACAGCCCCTCATATTTGGGCTTTTCCTCTCCATGTACCTGATCACTGTGTTGGGAAACCTGCTCATCATCTTGGCTGTCAGCTCAGACTCCCACCTCCACACACCCATGTACTTCTTCCTCTCCAACCTGTCCTTGGTAGACATCTGTTTCACCTCCACCACCATCCCAAAGATGCTGTGGAACATCAAGACACAGAGAAGAGTCATAACCTATGCAGGATGCATCACCCAGATTTATTTTTACATACTCTTTGCAGTGTTGGATGACATCCTCTTGACTGTGATGGCCTATGACCGCTTTGTGGCCATCTGCCATCCCCTGCACTACATGGTCATCATGAACCCCCGGCTCTGTGGACTGCTGGTTCTGGTGTCCTGGATCATAAGTGGCCTGAATTCCCTGTTACAAAATGTAATGGTATTGCAGCTGTCCTTCTGTACGGACTTGAAAATCCCCCACTTTTTCTGTGATCTTAAACAGGTGGTCCAACTTGCTTGTTCTGACACCTTCCTTCATACTGTGGTGATGTATTTTATAACTGTGTTACTGGGTGCTGGCCCCTTCTCTGGCATCATTTACTCTTACTCTAAGATAGTGTCCTCCATACGTGCAATGCCATCAGCTCAGGGGAAGTATAAAGCATTTTCTACCTGTGCATCTCACCTCTCAGTTGTCTCTTTATTTTATGGTACAGTCTTTGGTGAGTACCTCAGCTCTGCTGCTACCCACAGCTCACATTCAAGTGCAGTAGCCACGGTGATGTACACTGTGGTCACACCCATGCTGAACCCCTTCATCTACAGTCTCAGGAACAAAGACATTAAGAGGGCCCTGTGTAGATTTTTTGGGATGGCAGGTACAAAGAGGATAATTATGCTGAGGTTGAAAAAGTGGCCTTGATTTTGAGGCTCCAAGGCTCAAAATCAGAAATTGTGATTTCATCAGATTGTGGTTTTGAAGACTTGCTCCTTTTATTTCTGTCCTTGAGTTTCCTATTTTTGTTTTAACCTCTCTATACAATTTCAGGTACCATTTTATTAAGCTTTATGCTTTGTCTATTATGTACATCGTTTTTCCCTTTGTCCTTTTTTTCCAACTGTGATCAGAAATATTTGGAAATTTTCATTTACTTCATTGTTAACAGCAATGTCTTAACAATAATTTCTTCTCAAATAATACATATCATTGTAAGTAATTTGACATTGTATTCACTATGTGCGCCTCATTCTTTGTACATCAGTACCTTAACTGATCGTCCTGACACTGTATACTTTATGATTGTTCCCTATAAGTCACAGTATATTGATAGTGATGCCATGTGATAGAAATACCTGGGCACTGACCTGGATCCTACAACTTGTTCCTCAGACCACAGTCAATGTTGGGACTAGATGGACTCTTTTGATTTTTATTATAATTGAAATAACCATCATGGGACTATGAAAATGTAAGTTTTATTACTCATAGGTTCTGCAAGCCCAAAAGCCATACAAGAAAGTGTGTGTGTGTGTGTGTGTGTGTGTGTGTGTGTGTGTGTGTGTGTGTGTGAAAGGTCTGGTCCCCTCCAACTGCCCTTCCCTGCTGGTCTGGTCTCCCCCAGTTGGCCTCCCTTGCAGGTCTGGTCTCTCCCCCTTACTTCCCTCCTCTGCAAATCTGGTCTCCCCCCCCACCCGCAACTGCCCTTCCCTGCCAGCCTGGTTCCCACCAATTGCCCTCCTCTGCTGGCCTGATCACTCCTAACTGCCCTCCCCTGCAGGCCTTCTTGTGTCCACATGGGCGCAGTCACCTTTGGCCACATGGGAGCAGCCATCTTGTTTGTTGGAGTGATGGTCAATTTGCTCTTTTATTAGATAGGATGTGTAGATGTATTAGAGGGATGTGTGAATTTTATAAATTTTGTGTGGTCAGTTCTGTCAGTCAGTCAAATTACACTGAATGGCCAGATTATTATGATCTCTGAACACATAACAGTATGACCACACTCTGAGTGTGTGTGTGTGTGTGTGTGTGTGTGTGTGTATGTATGTATGTATACGTATATGTGTATGTATATGTATATATGAGGCCTCATGCATGAATTCATGCATGGATGGGATCCAGCCAGTCTGCCCAGGGGTAGGGGATGTGGGCAGTTGGCTGGCCCCCCTATACTAGTTGAACTCCTGGGTCGAGAGGACAATTTGCATATTAACCTTTTATTATATAAGATATACACTGAGTGGCCAGAACTTTATGCGTTCAGAGATCATAATAATGTGGCCACTAAGTGTTTGTCTCCCCATTATATTTTTTAAATTTAATTCTTTATTGTTTAAAGTATTACATGTGTTCCTTTTTCCCCCATTGACCACTCCCCAGTTGTTCCCTCCCCATTCCCCAGCATATGTCCTCACCACTACTGTCTGTGTGCATAGGTTATGCTTATATGCATGTATTCAAGCTCTTTGGTTGATCTCTTACCACTCCCCACCCTCTTCCACCCTACCTCCTTCCACCCCTCCCCTAGGAGGTTGGATGGTCTGTTTGATGCTTCTATATCTCTGGATCCATAAACAAAACAACAAGAGAGCCCACTGCATGGGAGAACATAGAGTATTTGCCAATGTCATAACCAATAAGGGTTTAATCTCCAAAATTTATAGGGAACTCATACAACTTAACAAAAGGAAGATAAACAATCCAATCAAAAAATGGGCAAAGACATAGATAGACCCCTTTCAAAGGAGGACATACAGAAGCCCAAGAAACATATGAAAATATGTTCAAAGTCACTAATCATCTGAAAGATGCAAGTCAAAATGTCAATGAGGTACCATCTCACACCTGTCAGAATGGCTATCATCAAAAAATCAACAAGTGACAAATGCTGTCCAGGATGTGGAAAAAGAAACCCTTGTGCACTGCTGGTGGGAATGCAGACTGGTGCAACCACTGTGGAAAACAGATGGAATTTCCTCTGAAAGTTAAAAAATAAAATCCCCATTATATATATATATATATATTTTTTTTTTCTCCATACACATTTATTAAACAATAAATAAATGAATGAGTGAATGAACAGGCATTGCATGGGAGAAATGACCCTTTTCAGTCATGGCGGATGCAGATGATGTTCATTTTACATGTCAGCTATCATTGGGACCCCACAGCAATTACTGTTAGATGACATTGGAACCCCCGCTGTCATATCTGCTAATCATGAGATCCTCTGCAGCTCTCTTAAGCTGTATCCTGGAGGCGATGATATCTTCCCAATAAGTCCTTATTAGGGTGACATTACGTAAAGGCAGGCAGTCGGCTGAGCAATGAGTAAAGCATGTCATTAGAGGCAGCTATAACTCTTGTGAGAGAGCCTGTTGGCATAATCATGGATGAATTAGTAAGCAGGCATCTTTGCTTGAAACTTTCCTAAATGCAATTTTGGAACTTTATAAGTAAACATATCTTCTGTGCTTCTCTTAAGTAAAACTAGTTGAAAACAAAGAAGCAATATGCCCCCTCATGCACCATGCTATTCTAATAAATCAAGTCCTGCATGGAAATCTTGCAAATAAAACATCGATACCAACCGTTTTTCAAATTGACTATAATGAAATACACTAGTATGCGAATGGCAAACACCTTTGCCATTTCTTTTTTTTTTATTTATTTATTTATTTATTTTTACATATTTTAATGATTTTTTTTTTGCCCCCCTCCCTCCCTCCCCCATATCCCCTCCCTCCCCATAGTTTTATGTCCATTGGTTGTACTTATATGCATGTATACAAGTCCTTCGGTTGATCTATTATCTCCCCCAGATCCTCCTCCCCTCCCCGCTGTAATTTGACAATCTGCTTGTTGCTTTACTGTCTCTATATCTATCTTTTGGTTCATCAGTTTATAATGCTCTTTATTATCCACAAATGAGTGAGGTCATGTGGTGTTTCTCTTTCATTGATTGGCTTATTTCACTCAGCATGGTGTTCTCCAATTCCATCCAGGTTGCTGCAAATGATGAGAATTCCTTCTTCTTTATGGCAGCATAGTATTCCATTGTGTAGATGTACCATAGTTTTTGGATCCAATCATCTGCTGACGGGCACCTAGGCTGTTTCCAAATTCTGGCTATTGTAGATTGTGCTGCTATGAACATAGGGGTGCATATATCCTTTCTGATTGGTGTTTCTAGTTTCTTGGGATATATTCCTAGGAGTGGGATTACTGGGTCAAATGGGAGTTCCATTTTCAGTTTTTTGAGGAAACTCCACACTGTTCTCCACAGTGGTTGCACCAGTCTGCATTCCCACCAGCAGTGCACGAGGGTTCCTTTTTCTCCGCAACCTCGCCAACACTTGTCGTTTGTCGATTTGTTGATGTTGGCCATTCTGACAGGTGTGAGATGGTACCGCATTGTTGTTTTGATTTGCATCTCTCGTATAATTAGTGACTTTGAGCATGTTTTCATGTGCCTTTTGGCCTTCCTTCTGTCTTCTTTTGAAAATATTCTATTTAGGTCCCTTGCCCATTTCTTAATTGGATCATTCATCTTCCTTTTATTTAGTTGTATCAGCTGTCTGTAAATGTTAGAGATTAAACCTTTATCAGTGGTGTTATTTGCAAATATGTTCTCCCACACCGTGGGCTTTCTTGTTGTTTTGTTGATGGTTTCTTTTGCTGTAAAAAAGCTTTTTATTTTGATGTAGTCCCATTTGTTTATTTTCTCTTTAGCTTCCATTGCCCTAGGGGCAGTATCAGTGAAGAAGTTCTTTTGGCATACGTCTGAGATTTTGCTGCCTGAGGATGCTTCTAGTATTTTTATGGTTTCCCGTCTGATGTTTAAGTCCTGTATCCATTTTGAGTTTATTTTTGTGTATGGTGTAAGTTGGTGATCTAGTTTCATTCTTTTGCATGTGTCTACCCAATTTTCCCAACACCATTTATTGAAGAAACTGTCTTGACTCCATTGTATATTCTTTCCTCCTTTGTCAAATATTAATTGAGCATATTGATTTGGGTTGATATCTGGGTTCTCGATTCTATTCCATTGATCTATATGTCTGTTCTTGTGCCAGTACCAGGCTGTTTTGAGAACAGTGGCTTTGTAATACAGTTTGAAGTCCGGTATTGAGATCCCTCCTACTTTACCCTTCTTTCTCAGGATTGCTGTGGCTATTCGGGGTCTTTTATTGTTCCAAATGAACTGTTGGAGAGTTCTTTCTAGGTCAGTGAAATATGCCCTTGGTATTTTAATGGGGAGTGCATTGAACCTATAGATTGCTTTAGGAAGTATGGACATTTTGATGATGTTGATTCTACCAATCCATGAACATGGTATGTTCTTCCATCTCCTTACATCATCCTCTATCTCTTTTTTCAATGTTGTGTAATTTTCTGCATATAGATCCTTTACTTCCTTAGTTAAATTTATTCCTAGGTATCTTAATTTTTTTGGTGCGATGGTAAATGGAATTGCTTTTTTAGTCTCTGTTTCTGTAGTTTCACTGTTGGTGTATAGAAATGCCATGGATTTCTTGGCGTTAATTTTGTATCCTGCTACATTGCCAAATTCATTTATTAAGTCAATTAGTTTCTTAATGGAGTCTTTTGGGTTCTTTATGTACAATATCATGTCATCTGCAAATAAGGATAACTTTACTTCTTCTTTTCCAATTTGGATGCCTTTTATTTCGTCCTCTTGTCTAATTGCAATGGCTAGTACTTCCAGTACTATGTCAAACAGGAGTGGCGAAAGTGGGCATCCCTGTCTTGTTCCTGTTCTTAGAGGGAATGGTTTTAGTTTTTGCCCATTGAGTATAATGTTGGCTGTGGGTTTATCATATATAGCTTTTATTATGTTGAGGTATGATCCTTGTACTCCCACCTTGTTAAGAGTTTTTATCAGAAAAGGGTGTTGGATT